TTGGTTTCGATTAAATTGAGGGAACTAAAAAAGGAACTGACTTGGTGGTAGAGTTTCTTTCTAACAAAAATTCCGTCTGGCTCATTTTTTAAAGAAATAGAGGTTGGACAACAAGTGAGCACCCATTCTACTTGATATTATGTAGATACTATGGCTCTAAGATAATTTTATTTAAGCTTGATTAGGACGAGGACTGCCAACTTTTTATTTCAAATATAGGAAAATTATAGTACTGTGCTTGGCGAAAAAAAAAACATAAATTAGTATATTCCAATACCAATTAATGATGTTAAGACATTGCAAAGCATGCCGACAGATAAATCGATGGATAGAGGAGTACCTAAAGATGGTTGCTGTCTAACACATACCTCTTCTATTTTTTGAGAGGGTTATTGAATGTACTATACATATTGTATAATTGTTATATGTTTAATAATCTCGTACGAGTGTTGGTTATACTCGTAGTTAAAATAAGTTCAAATACAGGGTGCTGGTTTTTCTTATACGAAAAACGTTTCAGGCAAATTTTTGGTATCTCTACTTTTTAAATCAATAATTTTCACTGAATTGAGAATCGGAAATAACAGTGCGTTTACGTGGCTTATCATTGTGTTATGTAAACTACACACCCATCATTACTAAGAGCACTAAAAGACGGAAAACAGTCATTCTATTCGAATGTTACACAAAAAAAAAAGAAATAAAGATTATCTAATAATAAAAAAAGAACGAATATATCTAAAATATGAAAATAATAATGAGAATCATTTTAATTAAAAGCGTATCTGGTTTTAGTACTGTAATGTAGTAACTGGCTGTATCTTAAGTTTTTTTAAATAATAAAATACAGTTCATTAAGTAAATATGTTTTAATATTTTTTATCTCCCAACATATTCGAATGGTGGCTTCTCACTGCGTGTGTTATCACGCACCGCGCCGCGCCCGCACGCGCCACGCGTAGTGTAAAGAGCTTGGCGCGGCGCGTGCTATCCGTTTAATGGTGGCTTCTCACTGCGTGTGTTATCACGCGCCGCGCCGCGCCCGCACGCGCCACGCGCAGTGTAAAGAGCTTGGCGCGGCGCGTGCTATCCGTTTAATGGTGACTTCTCACTGCGTGTGTTATCACGCGCCGCGCCGCGCCCGCACGCGCCACTCGCAGTGTAAAGAGCTTGGTGCGGCGCGTGCTATCCGTTTAATGGTGGCTTCTCACTGCGTGTGTTATCACGCGCGCCGCGCCGCGCCCGCACGCGCCACGCGCAGTGTAAAGAGCTTGGCGCGACGCGTGCTATCCATTTAATGGTGGCTTCTCACTGCGTGTGTTATCACGCGCCGCGCCGCCCGTGTTGAGGCATTCATGGCATCTACTTAGGAAAGGAACGCTCCTCCCTTTTTCTTTCTAAGATAAAGCGCCTCAAAATACAAGGCGCCATCTTCCACAGCCTCCAAGTCCACTTGCGCATAAAAGAAATACAGTATTTTAGGGTTAAAGGAACACGCGTCCCACAGTTGATTACAGTTATCTCCCATTTCTGGAAGGGTTATGAAGCATCACAAGTCTTTAAAATATTTTTTTGTTCATGTGGGTTTCCTTACGATGTTTTCTTTCGTTTCCGAGCACGTGGTAAATCTGCACTTAAAATTGCAGAATGAAATTAATAATTTCATTCCTACTGACGGGGATCAAATCTGGGTTACTCCGTAGTACGAATCACGGACTTAAACATAAATTGTTATGAATTATTCAAATATCTATTAGTAACGAAGACAACTTATTTTTATTAACGCTATGTTTGATTACAGTTAAAGTGATACCATCGGACCTTTGACTCATCCGCCGCGCATTTCTTTCCTGTCTACAAATCCAAGGTCATTGGCTATCTATAGATAGTTCTATGATAAAAATATTATCGTCTAGAGTTCCGTGATTAAAAATGACTTGAAGGCCATTAATTATTATAATTTGGGTATTAATATAGTTTCCGGTTGAGCTATATAAATATATTAAAGACAATAATAAATTTATCCTATACCTTTAAACGAGCAATTCTTATATATATATAATCGGAATCCCGGAAACAGCTCCAACGATTTTCATAAAATTTAGTGTCCAGAGGTTTTCGGGGGCAAAATCGATCGAATCGATCTAGCTAGGATTCATTTTTAGAAAATGTCATTTTGTCCATGTTTTCAGCAATGAAAAACTGCTACAATATACGGAGGTAAAGTTTGACACTGTGTTAATGATCATAATAACTCAAGTGGATATCGGGCGGTCACGAAATCGCAGTGCCATGGTTCGCGTCCTGTCTTCGGGCCGACTTTTTTATCCTTTTTTTTCAAGTTCCCTTCTTTTGTGAGAAAATCTATTATTTCGAGCCCTTTTTTTTAGTATTTTTTTAAAAATACGAAAATTTAAATTAAACTAATTGCACTTAAGATTTTTATTCAAACAACTTGTTCAGTTTTTTCTATTATGTCAATAATATCAAAAAATATTATTCATGTTTCATCAGTATGTAATTTTATCTAAATATAATTTCCAAAACACACGATTTCCAAAAAAAAAAAAAACGAGGAAAGCTCGGTCATCGAGGTACTATTAAATAAAGTATGTAAGGCCCATCCAGATGGAAGTCACCGGCAGGAGAGACCAAACGGTCGAGGATTAGGGGAAAGGGAAAACCGGCGGACGATTCAGGTAATAAAAATAATAATTATTAATGAAGATCGTTAGATATCGTTAGATCGTTAGATATAATTAGTCAGCTATCATTTCCTAATTTTCCATTCAAAACATAATTTTTGACCATGCGTGGCCCGTAGCTTGCTGCTCTTTGTACTCTGCCTGGTCCCACGGGGGTTACGGTGTGTGTATATGATCCATAGTTTAATTGCGTTTATTTTCAGTGATTCGTGCAGTCAATTAAGGTCCTGATTAAAAACCAGTACTGTGGTAAATAGATAATCAACGTAACATGTCGACGGGATTCTTTTTGACATGACATAACTGACCATGCTCGTTTTTCATGTTTTTTAATATATTTGACAAAAACTGACAATTGTTAACGTTGTAGAGCCAACCTACAGCTATATTATGGTTGTAGCACGAATTTGTCGGCTCGACCGGGCCACACTCTTACAGAATACCAGCACAAAATAGCAGCTTAATACTGCTGTGTTTCGTATGATCAGTGTAGAGAACCGAAGATCCATTTTAAAGGTAACAAGGCATCCCAAGCAGCACACAAGCGTTATGAACATCAATATCAGCCCTTACAGCGCTTAGATTTCTTTAACGGGCGTATAAGAGTGTTGAAAAGAAGTTGTATCTTTATAAGAGTGATTAACAGCAGAATAATGCTATGCTCCGTGGGGTGAGTATAGAGAACCGAAGACCTTTTTAACGGTAACTAGGCATTCCAAGTAGTTCTCAGAGGTTGCAACGTATCTGCATTTTGATATTTAACTTCTCGTTTCGAAAATTAATAAATACTTATGTAATAGTGGTGATATGAGGTCCACTATTAACAGACTCCGAGTGGTTTAGAGTTGGAAAAATGAAACTACTTTATTGGTGTGCCGACGAATGGAGTATGGAGAATTATACGTTTTTTTTTGCGCCCGAAGCAAATATGGGCAACCCTCCGGAAAGCGGGGGAGGGAGGCGGTGAATGCTCATAGCATACCACGCAGCCGGCTGCGTGGTTATGTGGAGACTTTTACCCACTAAACACCGCTTTTTAGGAATTGGCTTAACGATCTGACTAGAGATCTCTAAGCCGTATACGAACGCGACCCTCCTTGGCAGAAAGGAGGGTGCAAGCGGCGAAAAGCCGCTTAGAAGAGTGCCTTACTAAGGCAGATTAAGGGATGTGTTATGTAGGCTCGGCCTGAGTTGCCAGGAGGCAGTTCAGGTCGGCCGAAGATTAATCAAAATACAACTATTATGTGCGCACCATTTGCCGTAGTTCTCGTAGCTACGTCGCTGGACTGGGCTATAAAAGTTGTGCAGGCCGGCGCGCGCGCGTAGTCGGCGAGCGGCGGCGGCGTGGGACACAGCTCCGGAACAGCAAGAAGAAGCGAGCTGCGGCGTTGAAGAAACGGCTCAAAAATGGTCGACGGATACATGACGATAGCGGCGTGTGAAGACGATGTGGCGCTGAATGATATTTGCGGCTGTTTCTTTATTAGAACGTTAAATATATACGTCAAATTATCTCGCTTCGATATGCAGCCCGCAGTATCTCAGTAGCCGTGGATAATTAGAAAATAAATGTTTTCTTCGCCTTCTGTGTTATGGTAGCAGCAGGGTATATATTATTTAGGGTTGATTAGCCTGGCTGCTACACTTAGCTCCTACCACATGGACAGTTTCCGCGCGCTTATCATTCATATCGTCCACCGCATTACACTCTTCTAGACACTGATGACGGTTTTGTAACTTTAGCTGAAACTCTTAGAATTACAGCTAGAGGGGGACGGAGTGTCGACTTCATGAGACCTCTCCAACTTAACGTTTAGGTTCAGTGTGCCTCTAACCATTCGGTGATCGCTGCCAGTTTTCACCCTCGCGATCACTGAGACATCACTGAACAGTTGCCGTCTAGTCGTCATAATGAAGTCAATCTCATTTTTTTCAAAGAGTTCATCATAAAGAATCGCCTCTTTTTCATGAAGTCGGCTAGCCCCTGGTACCTATGGGTTCCATCGCAATATTCCGAATTTTCTTACTTTCAGCTTACCGTTTTCTTTTGTGCTTAGTTTTGCGTTGAAGTCTCCCATTAACATCGTATAGTGGGTTTTGGAGAAATGAATGACTCTAGAAATATCCTCATATATTTTCTCCACCTCCTCATCGGGATGTGCCGAGGTTGGTGCATAAAATTGTTTGACCTTCAGTGAATACCGTTTGGTGATTCTGAGTACGTATTATATATTGCGTACCTTAGCAACCCTCGTCGACACACTTCCAATAATAATAATAATAATAATATGGATGATGGAATATGCAAAACCACGCAAAGGGCCGCTGCCTGGAGGTCGCCAGGGCGCGTCTGGTGCTGGCGCTGGACGCGACAGCATGCGAACCGCCAGCCGAGCGAGAGGTGCTGCACGACCACCCATTAGCCCCTCGCATCCATCATCCCCACCAGCTGGCTTGGTGTCGGCAGGTTCTTCGCAGGCCCAGCAATCGGCACCCGCCACTGGTGGAGTACGCCGCATGCGATGGACAACCGAAATGAATACTAACGCATTGCGGGCGTATTTTAGGGCGAAAGGGGGAGAAGTTGGAGGTTTGGCGTATCGGGCTAGGATGCATCGTCTTTTTGCTGAGCTGGAGCCATCTTTAACCGTCTCAGAGCGAAACCTGGCAGACCGGGTTCGGTATATCTTGCGCTCAAATATATTTGATGTCGCCGAACTCGAACGACTACGACGTGAGGCTGTTCCCTCATCGGATGAAAATGCTACGGCTGAGGATGCGGCGCCACAAATTGCAGAGCAACCCGCAAATATGAATACCGCCGTGAATACCCCAGTTGTGGTTGATTCAAATGATGATGGAACAGTCGCCCAGGAACTGGAATTAGAGCATATGAGGAGTACATTGGAAGAGGCGATTGTGGAAACGCGCAGTACGCCTCTCGAAAATCGACCGCGACTTCCCCATATAGCCCTAAGCAAGCGGAATCGGGCTGTCGTGAGGGCTCTGAACCCAATGCTGGTGACCTCGCCAAACTTTCCACGGCTGGACGCGCTACTGGACAAAGTAGCGCTATCCCAGCCTGAAGAATAAGAATTGAAGAACGTATCGCAAAGGCTAGGGCCCTCATCGGCAGGCTGATATGCTTCAGGTCAGGCAACAACAGGCCAAGGATTGTGCGCACCGTCAGGATGGCATTTGCTGGGACAAATGTTAGTTTGTCCCAGCCGGATATAATGCAAAAACTGACGGAGCGCATAGACGACCTGAAGCAGAGAATCGCTGCTTGGGGAAAGCGGATTCGGCGATATACCGAGAGGTCGACACGGTTTAACCAGAATCGTCTCTTCCATAGTGATCAGAAGAGGCTCTATAAATCGTTGGAGCGACCTGGAACTGGAACTGGAATTAGAGCATATGAGGAGTACAATTGGAAGAGGCTATTGTGGAAATGCTGGTGACCCATTTGGAAGCCAGCTGGGACCTTTGCGAGACGGACGTAATTCTTTTTGGCACCGCGCTGGCAGTCTGCCGTATCATAGGCGCCAAGGTTTCCACGGCTGGACGCGCTACTGGCCAAAGTAGCGCTATCCCAGCATGGAGAAGAAGAATTGAGGAACGTATCGCAAAGGCTAGAGCTCTCATCGGCAGACTGATATGCTTCAGATCAGGCAATAACAGGCCAAGAATTGTGCGCACCGTCAGGATGGCGTTTGCTGGGACAAAAGTTAGTTTGTCCCAGCCGGATATAACGCAAAAACTGACGGAGCGCATAGATGATCTGAAGCAGAGAATCGCTGCTTGGGGAAAGCGGATTCGGCGACATACCGAGAGGTCGACACCGTTCAACCAGAATCATCTCTTCCAGAGCGATCAGAAGAGACTATGAATCATTGGAGCGACCAATGGTAAGTGGAACGGGCCCAGCACCGAATCAGGCCGACACTGTAGCATTCTGGCTCGGCCTGTGGTCAGAGCCCATAAACCACAGCGAGGGCCCTTGGACGGAAGTTGTGGCGAGTCAGTGTGCGAGTATAACGCCCATGGACCCCGTCATTATAACACCGGATGACGTAGCTGAGGCGGTCCGTAGGGCCCCGAACTGGAAAAGTCCGGGACTCGACGGGCTGCATCACTACTGGTTGAAGGGGTTTGTGGTGTGTCACACTGTGCTCGCCCGACAGTTCCAAGAGCCTCTCAACCAGAAGTCGCTCCCGAGCCTCTTCACAACTGGGATCACTCATTTGGTTCCTAAAGACCAGGTTACCACAGACTCGAGCAAATACCGCCCCATTACGTGTCTACCGACCATATACAAGACACTAACATCCATTTTGAGCGCGAGAATCACTCGTCACCTGGAATCAAATCAGGTGATGTCGCGCGCTCAAAATGGATGTCGGGGCGGCGGTCGTGGAACCAAGGAACCACTCCTCATTGACGCGGTCATTGGCAAAGTGGTGAAACGCAACCGTCGGAACTTCTCCGCCGCCTGGATAGACTACAGAAAGGCATTTGACTCGGTGCCCCATACATGGCTAAAGAGGATCCTCGAGATGTACAAGATTGACTGTACAGTTGGAGACTTCCTCGAGCGGTGTATGGGGCAGTGGAGTACGATCCTCTGTTATCTAGGCGAGCGGATGATGGCTGTGGAAAGCCGCATAAGGATAAGAAGGGGTATATTCCAGGGCGACTGTCTGAGTCCAATCTGGTTCTGCCTCTCTTTGAACCCTCTCAGTACTTTACTGGAGGGTTCCGGGAGGGGATTTCAGCTTCGGAAAGGAGGTACAAAAGTGACCCACCTCTTCTATATGGATGACCAAATTATTCGCCTCCAGTCTCTCCCATCTTATGGAATTGCTAAACGTCACTTGTGAATTTAGTAATTCTATTGGAATGGAGCTGACGACGGATAAGTGTGCGGTCCTCCATGTTGAGAGGGGTAGGGTTGCTAACTCTGAGGGCATAGACTTATCTATGCCCGTCAACTTAAGGACCCTTTCCGAGGCTGAAACATACCGATACCTGGGTATGTCACAGAACATCGGTATCGATGAGGCTGGTATGAAACAGTCAGTTTGCGACACGTTTTATGCACGCTTGACCAAAGTGCTTAACAGCCTTTTGTCCGGTGTGAATAAGGCACACGCATATAACGGCTGGGTCATGCCTGTCCTCATGTATACCTTTGGCATACTCAGGTGGACTCAGACCGAACTTAACGCCCTGGATAGAAAAGTCCGCACTACCATGACTTCCCATAGGATGCATCATCCGAGATCGTCGGTAATGAGGCTGTACTTGCCGCGAAAGCATGGTGGGCGTGGCTTCCTGAGCGCGCTCACCATGCATAATCGCGAAGTGTGCAGCCTCCGTAATTACTTCCTGGTGAGATCGGATGATCCATTCTATAATGACGTCATTTCTAGTGATAAAGGACTTACCCCTCTATCCTTAGCCAACGAGCAATGGCAGGACCCGGCAGTACTAAGCATTTCCGACCGGGAGACCGTATGGAAGGAGAAGGAGCTCCACGGGAGGTACTACAGGATTCTACATGAGCCCTTCGTAGATACAGTCGCCTCCCTCAACTGGCTACGTTTCGGTGACCTCTTCGGGGAAACCGAGGGTTTTGTCTGTGCAATACAGGATCAGGTTATTAAGACCTACTAACAACTATCGGAGATACATCCTAAAGGTTGGCATCGTCGACGTCTGTCGAGCTTGTCGCCATCCCGGTGAGTCACTTAGGCATGTCATCTCCGGTTGTTCGGCGCTTTCTAATTCTGAGTACTTGCACAGGCACAACCTAGTAGCCAGAATTCTACACCAGGAGCTCGCTCTGAAATACGGTCTCGTGGGCCGGAAAGTGCCGTATTACAAGTACTTGCCGGAAGCCGTGCTCGAAAATGACCGCGCCAGGCTCTATTGAGACCGGGCCATCATCACAGACAGGACTATTCTTGCGAATAAGCCTGATATTGTGCTGATGTACCGGGCACAGTCAAGGATATTTTTGGTCGACATTACCATTCCGTATGACGAGAACCTCGTGAAAGCCGAAACAGATAAACGAACAAAATATCTGGACCTGGCTCACGAGGTGACCGATATGTGGGGTGGTCTGCCGGCCGAAATTATTCCTGTAGTCGTCTCTGCGAATGGGTTAATCCCAGTCAGCCTCTCGGATCATCTGAGGCGACTGGGACTCCGTGACGGACCGCTCCGGGCTCAAATGCAAAAGGCGGTGCTCCTCGATACCGCCCGCATCGTCCGCCGGTTTCTTTCCCTTTCCCCCTAACCCTCGGCCGTTTGGTCTCCCCTGCCGAGGACTTCCATCGGGTTGGGCTTTTATTTATTTATGTATTTATGTATTTATTTTATTTTATTGATATTTATGTATATTTATCTTTTCATTTTCGTTTATAATTATATATTTATACATCCCAACCAGATGAGAAAACTATATAGATACCCCAAACCATAATAATATTCCACAACTATCACACAACGCCATCTAGTCCCAAGCTAAGCAGAGCTTGTGTTATGGGTACTAGACAACTGATAAACATACTTATATATTTCTAAATACATAAATATTATAGATAAATTACACCCAGACACAGAACAAATGATCGTGCTCATCACACAGACATTTGTCCTGGGTGGGAATCGAACCCACGACCTCCGGCATAGCAGTCAGGGTCACTAACCACTAGACCAACAGGCCTGTCAAATGTCCAATCTTTACAACATTGTTAACGAGAGACTTGTGGAGGATAAATCCGACACTTCCTTGGGACAAATGGTCGCTCTACAGGTGATAGAACAAGTTGCCGGATTCGATGATCACCGTGTCCTCCCTCTCTTTTCGGACCTCGGATAATCCTATAATATTCCAGCGCAATATGTCTATGTCTTCTACCAGCTCCAGGATTTTCTCGTCAGTCCCGGGGTGTATGGGTTGTATGTTGCCAGGTGGAGTCGTTTTAGGTGGCAACCGAACCTCCACCGGAGATTCTTAGCACGCCCTGCCTCGCCGTTACCATGTTCATGTGTGTTCATTTATTTATTTATTTATTTTGCATAATGTGTGTGTTTTACAGTTGTTATAAAGAAAAAATATAGTACAACACATTAACCATTTCTGGTGTACAAAATGATATAAATTTAAAAACATTAAGTATTATTAACTACAATATAGATTAAAATTACAAAAAAATCATTGATAATAATTAACAAACAAAAAACATAAAAATAAACTAGAAAGCGACATAATAAAACAAAAACATTTACTATTAATTGCACTATCACATTATTAATATTTATATTTTAATGTCACATTATATATTATTATTAAAATAGTCAAAATTTAAAGATATTGTTTTTCCAACAACTCACTAACCGAATAAAAAGATTTATTAAAGAGCTACTTTTTTAACTCGTTCCCGAAACTCTTCCTTGGTTGTAGTTTTATGTTATCGGGTATAGCGTTAAATACTTTTATACACATTGCATAGCAATTCTTATGATAACCGTTTTTTGGTATTTTATCAATGACTAATTTATCTGGATGCCTCAAAGGTTTTGATTTGATAATATCTCCAGCAGTTATAAACAGCTCGGGGTTATTTTTAACAAATTTTGCTGTTTCAAGAATGTATATGCACGGAAGTGTTAGCACTTTCAAATCTCTAAATATTGATTTACACGACTCATGAGGGGCCATATTACATATTGCACATAGACATTTTTTTTTGCACAATAAAAACTTTATTGATGTCTACAGAATTTCCCTATATTATTATACCGTAGCTAAGTATACAATAAACGTATCCGTAATACGCCTTGAGAAGTATTGAATGCGATGCCGTTTTTGTAAGGTTCCGTAATACATAAACAAAGCGGTTAAGTTTATTACATACTTTTTCTATGTGAGTTTTCCAGTTACAGAATGCATCTATAAGTATGTATACTGTGAAATGAAATTTCTTTTATTTGTTCGCCATTGTATACAATATTTAGCTTTGTTTCATTATTTTTTTATTATAAAATTGTATTAACTTGGTTTTGCTTATATTTATGAGTAAATTATTATGTTCTAACCATTCAATTATTAATTTCAAAGAATCATTAATGTCATTTACAAATTTACCAATGTCAGATTTTTTGTTACATGTCAATATCATCTGCAAATAAAGTCAATAAATTATTTGTTACATAAGAGATGTCATTAATATACAAATATTGAGACAATACAAAGATTGAGATACAAAGATGAAGAGAAGATACAAAGATTAATATACAAAGATTGAGACTTCGAGCTGATTAGATTTTCAAGCCAATCGGTTGAGCCGTTTGAAAATTTTTATAAAAATAAAAACCAAAAAATTATTAAACAGATTTTTGAGCGTTGCAATTGAAAATAAGTGGGAGGTTCCAGGAATAGCCTGCAGAGTCAATAGCTTTTCAGATTTTAACTGAGGAATCATAGTCGTGGATAGATGTAGATGTCTGTGGACTGTGACTATGGACACTACCGGATAGACTGTGAGCCTGTTTATCATCATTATTCTTTAATAAATATTATAAATTATTACACATTTTAGTATTTAAAAATAAACTAAGAATGCAAAGGTTGTGTTCAATGTGAGAACTTTGCGATGTCAGCGGTTATCTTTAATTAACCACTGATTGGATTAACGGCAATTCTATATCACACACACATAAGCTAATTACGGTAACTATAGTCTGTTTGTATAATAAATGGACGTAGTTATGCAAAAAGAGACTAAAAATGCTATTCTTTAGATATTGAAGTTAAAATATGATCTTTGGCATCGCAATATATTTCTTAGAGATGGGCCGAATATGGATTTCACCGAA